CCCTCTGTAGAATGGGCATCATATGCGCCTGCCTCAAGGGGTAAAGTGGGTCATGAAGTTTAGCTAATTAAGATGTGTAAAGTGCCCTGAGATCCTAAGATGAAAAGTATGCAGTATTATTATTAAACTCTCACATGAAATGGTGTCTGTTTTTTAGTCTCATTTTGGGTATTTCCTACAGTAAATTTTATAGTTATTTGCTCATTCATGTGGGTTTGGTTTTCGGGACCTTCATGTACGTTAATCAGTTTCACTATGACATCATTGATATTGCTTTAGTCAGGTCTGACAGAGAAGAAAGAAGATAGTCAAGTCCTGGACAGTTCAAAGTTGAATGAATAGTGTCTGCAAAAGGCAAAGACAGAAGTATGGAAGATGTACCCCCTCATGTCTATGAACGAACATCATGGTGGTGCAAATCAGTGTAGCTCCATCAAAGTCAATGGCACTATGTTGATTTACACCAACTGCCAAACTGGATCTGTTTCTTTAATGAACAGCCTGACATATTTCTCCAGCCTTCTTCCTAATGGTGGTCTGAATGTGAATTTGATAGCAGCTGCCCATCCACAGAGATTCTGGACCTGTAGCTTCAGTGCCCCTTTAAAAGCTCCTAGTGCTGGTGACTGTTTGTACATCATCTACATTCCAAAAGAATGATCCCCCTTGTGATTCAGCAAAGGAAAGCATTGCTGGTTTGACATCCTGGAGGTCTAGAAACCCTCAATTTTTTTTCTCTGAAGGAATTTCCTTTTTTTACATTTCTGACTTTTCTACCACTGAAGCCAGGAAGTTGTCTATCCATGATCAACAGTGACCAAAATTTGGTTTTCCGGGAATGTACTCCCTTCCCTCCACACAAACTCTTGAAGTCTGTAATTTGCCTTTCTAGCCTGATAATGTGGCTGGCAGATGCATCAATTTTGCCAAATCATCATCTGGAAGGAACACTTTCTCTCTTATGCAACAGTCTTCATTTCCCTGCTGCTTCTCTCTCTTCCTCCCCCCACCCCCAAATCCATTGACTCCAGCTTCAACATATTTCTAACACTCAGGCTGAGTTAGACCCACCCATGGGACACTAAGCAAACGTGAGCGAGACCATTATGTCTGGTATATGACCTGAAACTTTCAATTTCAAAGGACATAGTCCAGAAAATGTAGGGACCAAGAACCCAGCGCTGTGGTTTCCCTTTGCTTGGCTAAAGAAAATAGCTGCTGTCTATTTTTACTGAAAATGTGGGATTTGAGGCCCTCCTCACTCTGTGTACAAAACAAAAGATGCCGCCAACAATAAAGGAATGGGGTGGGGGTCACTGTGGTTTAAATCCATCTGACTGGTCTACAGAAATGCTCTCAGGGATTCTTCAAATATTTCGTGCCCACACAGCAGGAAGTGAAGGAAGGTGGAAGAAAGTTGTAATGGGAGGTGGATTTTTGGAATGTCATATCACCTACTGTATGCAATGTAGTTGTAGCCGTGTCCGTCCCAGGATAGAGCTCTGTGTGACTTGAAAGTTTGTCTCTCTCACCAGCAGAAGTTGGTCCAAAAAAGATATTACCTCACCCACCTTGTCTCTCTAATATCACCTACTGAAATTCCCCTTTTTCATTTTAGGACTGGGATAGAATCAATATATTTCCACATACCCTCGCCACTTTACTCCTCTTCTGTGCTACGTTGCTGTAAGATTTTATGTGAGCGTTGTGTAGCACACCATGCAATCAGTACCAAGATAATATGATAGTTATGATGATGGGATCATTAGAAATGGCATAGATAGATAGATAGATAGAACTAATGCCTGGTCCCATATTCCTTGAAGTAAATGGAAGTTTTACGTGCTAGGGTATGATTTATATCAAATCTGGTATGTACATGATCTTCATGTCTATGGAGATATAAAATGAGCAGCATTTTGAACTCTGAAGCCTCTGATCAAAAAATAATTTTTTCTCCTGAGTGTCAATGTTCCTGAACAGGGCAGATAAAGACTTTTGTCTTGTTTTGCTTATGCTCAAAAATAAACAAGTTTATAAAATGTGTTCTTTCTTGGTTACTGTTTTTTATAATGATTGAACATAGATTTTTAGAAGATCAAGCAAAAGTATTAGATGCCTCAAAGTGGTAGTGAATACAACTTGGGAAGAGAGAGAAAGAATAAACTCAAAGATCTGGTTGGTCGTTCAATCTCTAACTTCTTTGATCCTACGTTCTTTTAAGATGAAATGTTATACGTTACAAACATATTTCCAGGAGAATGCTCCTGGAATGCCTTATACTAATCTAGTACCTGTACTACTGATCACAATCTCCATCTTAGGTACATGACACTTCATCCAACATGTCCATGATATCTGTGTATTCAATTTCTCCTGAATATGGTGACTTACACATCTTTTTTCCAAGCCTCCTCTTAGGGATTGCTGCAGATAAACTGAACTTTGGCCACCCCAGTTTGAATCCATGGGTCAGCTACCACTCCTCAGGACACCTAATGTGGTTTTAGCACAGTAACACTGCAGCATAAATTGCTACATGTGGCCCTTTGCAAAGCGCCTTCTTTTGAGACATTTAATCCAAGCCTGGATAAAGCACTAGAAAATAGAGTAAGGAGCAAATGAATGGAGTAGATGATCTAGAAAGTATTTTCCACCACTAACCTCTATGATTATATGATTAATCACCCAGCTTCCAACTGTTCCTACAGTTGCCATATTACAGCATTGTGGTAGTTACAAAGTTCATATGAGCTGGCCATTTCATTCTAATCCTTTCCCTCTCATATTCAGAATTTTCTCAAAATTTGACCTTTTGGGATGAAATTTCTCATGCTCACTCTCAATCTGATGAAGATTTTATTTTTTTAATTTGAAAGTTTGAAGAAATTCCATTCAGCTCTTTTTCTAATTCTATACCTGCGAAGGGAAAATGTTTTTCATTTTATATGATGCATTTTGACTTTCTTTTGAGCTCGGAAAACTCAAAACCAGAGTTAAGTCTTCACACTTGACATATAAGTAATCTGGAAAGCAGGCTAATCTGTGCTAAATTTGAAAAAAAAATGGTTTTAAAAGAAGAAGTTTATGAACTTTTGAAAACCGTGTGTAGAAACCATGTGCTGAGCATACTCAGTGCTTTGAATATGCAGAGACATGTAATAAAAGCTTTAAAAAAAAAATCTCCCCCATCATTACTAACACTGGTGCAGCTCCAACAGTGTTAGCAACATCAGGAACACTAATGTAGATAAGCCAAGTATTAATTATTATTATTTTAATTATTTGTATTATAGTAGCGTCTAGAGGTCCCAACAGAGATCGGGGAGGACCCCATCGTGCTAGGCACTTTTACAAACACAATGAGAGATAGCTCATGCCCTAAAGAGTCTCTAGTCTAAAAAGGCAAGAGCTCAGGATAGTTTTCAAAAGTTCAGAATGTGTTATTTCAAAACCATTATTACATGCTGTTAAAAACACCAGTAGCTGTGGAAGCCTTGTCTACACAAGCTCCCAAGTTGCTATCTTCAGGGAGCTGCCCTAGTATTAGCAATACTGGGATAGATTTTGGAGGAAAAAAGCCCAGTACAGACATCCTTTCAACAGACTCACATCTGATTATTCTCATAGCTTCCAGGAGTCCTAGATAAAAATAGCTGCACAATTAAATATTGAAGAGACTGAACTAATCAATTAGCAGAGCTGGCAACCGTTCTGCGAGTTCCAGATTGTCCTGTTTTGAACCAGGTGAACTCATGCCCCATGAGGAATACTCATAATGTGCTCGCGGATCTTGAAACTTGATGTGGTTTCAACACAACTGGATAACATTGGTGGTTGCGCTGATGATAGACAGATACTGTAGTAAAGTATTACTAATGCTAATAATAAATAATAACAACAAACAACCCCCCTGCAAGTGATTCCCTCATCTGGGCTTCCGCAATACAATCTTTCTTCTTACTTTGTTATTTGGACTGTAAACTCTTTGACTCAGGGCAATATTCAGTTGTGCCTTATGGACAAGTGCCCAGTACGTTATCTGAGGCAGCGTGACTCTGATGGATTCCGTGTGATGTTTTGTCACCCAGCATCACTGCAGCATGATGATGTTTCAAAGCGATTGATGTCTTGATACAGGATCTTCATAGAGTGACCAGATGCCCTGATTTTATAGGGACAGTCCCAATATCTGGGGCTTTGTCTTATATATATTAGTCTGCAGAAGAGAAAAATGAGGGGGGATTTGATAGCTGCTTTCAACTATCTGAAGGGTTCCAAAGAGGATGGATCTAGACTGTTCTCAGTGGTACCAGATGACAGAACAAGGAGTAATGGTCTCAAGTTGCAGTGGGGAAGGTTTAGGTTGGATAGTAGGAAAAACTTTTTCACTAGGAGGGTGGTGAAGCACTGGCATGGGTTATCTACGGAGGTGGTGGAATCTCCTTCCTTAGAGGTTTTTAAGGTCAGGCTTGACAAAGCCCTGGCTGGGATGATTTAGTTGGGGATTGGTGCTGCTTTGAGCAGGGGGTTGGACTAGATGACCTCCTGAGGTCCCTTCCAACCCTGATATTCTATGATACTATGATATAGGTGCCTATTACCCCCCCCCCAACCTGATTTTTCACACTTGCTATCTGGTCACCCTAGGTCTTCACAAGGCTGCAATGGGTGAGCTTGGGTCCACTGGGTGGAGTGAAAAGTCAGTGTCCCTTCCCACTGGCTGTGGAGTAGCCGCAGTAGCAAGAGACCATGAAATCAGAGCGCGGAGGGGATTTCGGGGGGCATGGGTGGGCATGGCTTTCCAGTGCAGTGGTGGCAAAAAAGAAAATTGGAGGGGGGGGGGATATCTTTTTTTGTTTTCAGTCTAGAGCGCATGGGCGGGGAAACAGCCCCCTCCTGCAGCAGGGCAGCCGCCTAGCCCACCATGGGACCCAGGGGGCTCCTTTCCTTTCCCCCTCCCTCCGGCGAGGAGGGGCCCGCCCGGCGCCCCGCCCCTTCACTTCCCGACGTTCTAAAAACTGTAACAGTGGAGCCGGCGCTGTCAGTGCGGCCGGGAGCGCGGGGCAGAGCGGCCGGGAGGCACCTCGCTGGGGTCGGTGTTGCCTGCTCGCCCCGCTCCCCGGCTGGGAGTGCCCCCTCCCTGCCGCCGGCTCCCCCTTCCCCCAGCTGCGGCCCTGAGATCCTTGTCCCTGCTGCCCCCGTTCTCCCACCATTCCCCAGGATCCAGGCACATGGAGCTGCTGTGCGTGGAGGGGGGCCCCCGTGTGCCCAGGGCGGAGCGGGACCCCCAGCTGCTGGGGGACCGGCGGGTGCTGCAGAACCTGCTGAGCCAGGAGGAGCGCTATAGCCCCCGGGTCTCCTACTTCCATTGCGTGCAGAAGGAGATCAAGCCGTACATGCGGAAGATGCTGGCTTTTTGGATGCTGGAGGTACGGGACCCCCCCCCCCTCCCCTAACCCCGGGTCCTACCCCCCAGTCCCCCCAGATCCATCCTGGAGTCCAGCAACAACGCTTTTCCTTACCCCTTTGTCCCCACCGCAGACACAGGCAGAGAGAGAGGCTGTGCCTGCTGGGTGTGGGAGAGAGAGACCCACCCCAATCGCACTGGAGTGGGAATGGATGTAGTGGGGTCACCTAGTGGTGGGGGCAATTGGGGGGGAGATTTTTTTTTGGGTGGGGAAGGCATTCGGTTTGTGGGATCTGTATCAGTTGGTAGGGGGGACGCTTGGGAGAGGGTCTGGGGTGTCACTTGCTGCAGGATGAGTTCCAAAGGAGACAGTCTGATGGGGCGGGGAAAGGCCTCTGGTGTGTGTGGGTTCAATCTGTGGTGGGAGGGCTCTGGTGGTCAATCTTTTGGGGGGATGGTTAGGCAGGGGGAATAGTGGGGTAAGAGGGCATTTAAAAGAGGCCTTCTCCCCCCCCCCCCCCCCCGGTTTTTGTAGTGGTGATAGACCTGGGGTGCTTGGGAGCATGATTTCCACCTCTGCATATGGGGAATTGCAGCATTTCCTTCTGCACCAAGAGGGCCACCCCCACCCAGACAGCATGCTCTCTTCCACGCCCTGGCAGTGTGTGCTTTTGCCTCTAGGGGGTCCCACCCGCCTTACCCCAGGCCCCCAAACTGTCAGCTTAAAGTTCTCTGCCCTCTGGCAGTTTAGAGAGCTGGAGTTTCAATGCAGCTGTAAGAGAGAGCCTGGGTAGAAAAACATCACAACATCCCACTCTGCTAAATCAAAAGGAATGTGATCCTCAGCATTAAACAACTTAATGAGGAAAATATCGGAGATGTCTCCGTCTCTTTTCATAAATGATCAAGCAGTGAATAGTCTAGACTCAGAGGAAAATGAAATTACATGAGGAAGAAACAGAATCCAGATTGAATTCAGGCTGTCGATCTCTCCACCCCACTGGCTGTCGCGACAAACTGCGCGTTTCCATTTTTAAGCACATGCCGATTCCAACTTTTTAAATTATCCTCTGTCTTAAATGCACTTTCTGAGATAGTTACTTGGCTAAAAGCTGCATTGGGGCTTGATTCTGCAAGACACTGAACTCAGTAGGAGTTGAAGGAGCCCAAAGTAAACTTAGAGGCTGTATCACTGGGATTTCCTAAGGGTGCGATTTAATAGGATTTGAGCTATTAAGACCAAATGTAGGTCGTATTGAAGTTGCTGGCACAACTTCCATTGACTTCAGTGGCAGCAGGATTTAGTTCTAAACGCTAATCTTTCATTTTTTATTTTAAATGAGGGTGGGGGGGAATGCAGCCAAAATTAAATCTGTGAAATGAGAAGTGAGTCTATTTTTTTTTTAAAGGAGAAAGTATCTGGGATGCGGTTTTATGTGGGTAGAGAGTACACAGGGAGTCAAAGTTACAGTTTGAAAGAGAAGGATGATCTTTGCTATAGCACAGGGGGAAACCTCAATATTTTTGTAATTCTGTTAAAACAAGGAAATAAATATGGCCGGTGTATTAATAGCATAGTTGAGGGAATAGAACAAGGGACTTAAATTTAGGATTCCCGGATTCTGTTTATGCCTGTCATAAGTGTGGTGTAGATAGAGGAGGGGAGCCAGGAGTCTGAACTCGGGTTCTATCCCTGACCCTGAGAGTGACTCTTTTTGTGATGTTGGGCAAGTCACTTAGCCCAGAGATTTCAAAAGTGGCCACTGATTCTTGGTGCCTCAGTTTTTGGGTGGCCAGCTGTAGCCACACTGGGACTGATTTTTTCAGAGGTGCTGAGCACCCCCATTCAAGGAGAGCAGGAAGTGATCAGCACATCTGATCATTAAGACCTAGATGCTTGAAGTTGGAGAATCAGAAACAGAGGCACTCAAAATCAGTGGACACTTTAGAAGATTTTGGTCTTTAACCTCTTTGTGCCTCCATTATACCCAGTTTACTATTTTCCCTACCTCCCAGGGGAAGGTGAGGCGAGTTCTAGGACATTGGGCCAAATTCTCTGCTGGTGATGTATTGGAGTTAAACCAGCAGAGAATTTGGCTCTTAAAGCCAAAAGTGCTTTGAGAGCACCAGACAAAAGGTTCCACAGAAATGCCAAACACTACAATAACTAGTAGTTTTGAAGTCTTGATGCGGACAGGAGCTGAGGAGTCCTGCATTTAAAACACTTCCTTTCTTCTGTTGGGTTTCATCAGGTGTGTGAGGAGCAGAAGTGCGAAGAGGAGGTCTTCCCCTTGGCCATGAACTACGTGGATCGCTACCTATCTTCGGTCCCTACTCAAAAAAATCACTTGCAGCTTCTGGGGGCCGTCTGCATGCTCCTGGCTTCCAAGCTGCGAGAGACCATGCCCCTGACTGTGGAGAAACTCTGCATTTACACAGACAATTCCATCACACCACAACAACTCTTGGTAACCTCCCCACTCTGCCTAATAGAGCCTTTCTCCCTATTCCCCAACTCTCTTATCCTCTACATGCTGCTGCTGCTTGACGACATACCTGCCCTGTGGCTCCTTCTGTCTTCCTTCCCCTGTTTCCCCAAGCACCTTCCCCCATGTTCTGCAAATAGCCTCTCTGCTTCCTTGCCCAAGTGGACACACAACCTTTCGGAGAGGTAGAACTGCACCCCTCACTTAGAGCCACCACCTCTGCCTCGGTTCCATGCAGCTCTGGTGTTATTCTCCATTGATTGCTCTGGTAGGCAGAATCATGACACTGAGGTTATAGAAAACATTACATGTGTTAAACACACATCCCCATCACTGAAATTCACTGTGTCCCATGTTGGGGCTTTAATATGGTAAATAGCTCTGGAACAACAGCCCTGGAGAGACCAAAGGCCCTTATTCACAGAACAGGTACTGCAAAAGGCAGTGGACGGGGAAGGTGCTGTCAATGTGCATATCTGCCCAAACCAGGAGGGACTTCATCTCTGGGGATGAGAGGGGAGCTGAGTTTCCATGTCCTCTCACCCTTGGTCTTTCTTCTGAGACTGCTCACAAGGGGGCCAGTTGTGATGGGGGGCTTTTGTGACCTAGATGCCTGCCCACCGGGAGACCACAGTCCTTGGCGCTCAGAGACCAAGGTGGTAAGTGCTGTAGAGAGGGGCTGGGAATAATGTAGGAAAAGGTCATGGACTTGCTGCCATTTGGGATTGTGTGGGGGAGGACAGGAATAGTCCAATGGGAACGAAGTGAAGCCATTTTTACAAGGTCTTAAGTGACACTAGGACTTATTTACTTAACTCCATTGCTGCCCAGGTGTCCCACGGGGTGAGTCTTCTTGGTGGAGCTCAGTCAATGGGGGAGGACCGTGAAAGGGCTTCAGCGGTGTTAGAACATGTGCCCTTTAAGAGGGAACCACCACCTGACTTCAGTGTAACAAACATCCCTTAGGACGGTTTGTCTAACAGAATTTCCTAGGGTTAGTCATCTGCTGGTTAGGTTATTTTTGAGGAGTGGGGGTGGTGAGATGATGTAATAATGATTCGTCCCCGGGGTGGGGAGTGGACCCACTAAACTTTCAGGTGGGAGCTGATAGACATTTCTGGTTATTGAAGAACTTTTTTTATGATCATGCAAATGAGGATTGGGGGGAGTTCCCTTCACCTCCCTGCGACTTCCCCTGAGATATATGGAGGATTGCTATTGCTTCGGTAACACGGGTGGAGGATGCTCACAACCAAAGTAGGTGGATTGTGCCACATGTGATAGCCAGGTACGGGTGTCCACAGGAGTTGCGGGTGCTCATTGTGTCTGTGGAGTTGGCCCCATGGTTGGAATGCAGCTCCTTGCCTGTGCTGCTGTAGAGGAGGGTCCTGTTGGGCACGAAAACTCTATATCCAGGGGTTTCACTCTTCTGTAAATAAAACGTCACCCCTTGCAGCACTTCCTGATTCTTGAATATATTCCATGCATGTAAATCCCATGGATTAGAGTGGGAATTATGTGCATAGAGTTCATTTCTGGATCAGGCTCCAAATTAGAGGCTGGTATGTGTGTGTGGTCCTGTGGTAATGATGGGGATTCAGTCTCCATTCACCCCCTCCTGCTCAGGTGCTTGGCCTGCAAAGGTTGGGGCGGCTGCAGGGGCAGCAGGGTGGGTGCATTTAAAAGACGAGATGGGAAGGGTGTTTTTTTTTCCCCATGCCCACGGGAGAGAATGAGATGGATAGGTCAAAATGCTCCGATTCAATGGACTGTTTGTGTGGCTGGATTTAATGCCTTCCACAACCCAAGCTCTGCCTACTCGTGACACCAAAATGAGATGCCACGCTCAGTAAATTGGGTGACTCTTCATATGGCTGTACCTCTCCTTTCTCTCTGTCCATCTAGGTTCTTATATTAGCACCCATCACCATAGTATCAGAGTACTTCCTTTTGTGCTTTGCTCAGCAGTGAAATAGTTAACAGTGCTGACATTTACATTTTCACCAATAGGCTTCTGCATCTATGCCCAGCTGAGATGAGCAAGAACGGTTTCATCCTTGGTGCCAAGCATCCTGCCTTATGGTGCTAATGATGGGCTTCTCATGCATGTGTCCACAGCCAAAAGAGTGGAGCTCCCCATGCACTAGCGTGAAGCTCCAGGGGCAGTTGTCTCTTTAGTAATTGGGGTTAACTTGTTTTGTTTTTTGTTGTTGTTTTTTGGGGGGTGTGGGGGGAGGATTGAGCAGAAGGTGAGCTGCCCTGTGGTTAGAGGCAGCAGGTGGGTCAGAGCAGTTGGGGGCCTGGAGAAGGACTTTGTCTTTGAAGGTCATTGGGAAAGAAGATACCTGTAAGGCTGTGATCTGAAAGTCACACCAGTCCTGCTCTTGGTAAACTCTGTAGCCCAGCTGGGAATAGACGGCAGTATGACTTCCCACTCTGATCTCCTCTTGCTGGGTCATAGGCTCCACGACCTGAGAAGGATTACCAACTCTCCAGGATAACCTTGGATGGAACTGGTGAGGTTTGCATTTGTGTTGGGATGTGACAGAGTTAATGCTCTGCTTACAAAACCAGAGAAAGCTGCTGCTTTCCTCCTATGTGCTAATAATGCTATCAACTTCTCTTCTTTCACAACAGTGCAGTGAGAGTGGGTGGGGAGGGGAAGGAGAGCTTCTCCATCGCAGTTTGGACAATGGATACATCCTGGCCTCTTAGCACAAATCTGTGCTTCCGGCGCACTCTCCTGGGCCCTTCTAAGGGAAGCTGGCTCACTTTCCCAGCAGGTTCACTTCCTCCTCTTGGAGAGGATGCCTGGCACAAGCTCGGCATTCTAAAAAGGATAAATTAAAACAAAATCTTGATGAAGTTATTCTTGGCAGAAGGAAATGATGCAAATGAAGGACTTGTCCACTTGGAGGAAGTTGGGTTTCCGTCAAAGGGCGTTATCTAACCATCTTTCTTTTTTCATTAAACCACTGGCGAGAGGCTTTTCTTGCCTGTGCAGGATGGTACTTAGCCACAAGATGGTTGGAGGGAGCAGCTATTGTCAGCAGGTCATACCGTCCCTTGGCTTGGTAGGACCTGGTTCATGTATTAGCTGTACTGTTGTCTCGTCCTCTCCCTAGATATTGGAGACCATGGTTATAAAGAGATGATAGTTTTAGCTTCTAAAATGGCAATGGTGCTTCCTGGCATCTTGGTTGCCCTGAGGTTTCAGAGGTGTTAACAGTTTGAGCATAACCCATGTGCTCTTTGCAGGGCAGGAGAAGGGAGATGAGAATGAAGATGACTTGTGCTATTGCAACCCAAGGCAGTTTCACTTGGGCTGTTAGCCTGAAACTCATGGGGTGGGAGGGAAGAAAACAATCTGGTTGCCAATGTCTTTGCCATAAAGCAGGAGTCTTGCTTTTGTCCTGCGCCTGCTGCTCCAGACTTGCAAAATCCATTCAAGTGTCTCAAGCAAAAGAACTTATCGGCATCTCTGCTGATTCTCCAACGTAGGTGGCAGCAGTAACTTTTCTTCCTCCTTCCCTCTTCCCAGAGTCCCATTCACTGATGCTTTTCTCCAGCTGCCATCTTCAAAGACAGCTCAGGACCTGTCATCTGGTACGGTACACTCCTGGGCTTTGACCTTAGTAAGTCTGACTTCCTGACTGCAAGGCATTTGTGGTCAGAATTCAAACGGGCTCAGTACCCATTTAGGCATCAAAATAAGTGGCCAGATTTTCAGAAGAGCCCAGCACGTTGCGTGCAGAGCTCTTCTAAAAATCTGTTCTCAGGGCTAAGCCCTTGAAAATATGGCCATTGCTGGGAGAGAGTTATTTTATATAGCACTAGTGATGTGTAGAGACCCATAGAAAGGCAGGTTCCTCTCTTAGGGCTTGTCTATACTTACCGCGCTGGTTCGGAGGCAGGCAATCGAACTTCTGGG